ATCAACAGTTGGTGGTTCCGTGTATTACTTAGATTATTATTACTAGATCACTGTAGATAGCCAGCACAGCATGTATTTTGTCTTTAAGTAGACCACAATGGTTGTGACTGTCATAATCACCTACAACTGTTCACAAGCATGTGTCACAACATGTGCTGTAAGTGGGTTCACAGCAGGGTGACAGCTTTATTATGTTCATTAATTTGATTAATGAAGCCTGTGATGTGCATTTTTTCTTTTTAGCCTACATCTCTTAACTCAGTCATAACCACGTTCTGCCACCAGCCCTGAACTAATTCATTGTCCATAAGTTATCTGCAATTAAAGCTGCATAAGGTAATTTTCATAGAAATAACTTTTTGTCATATTTTCTGAAACATTCACTATATCCTGACAGTAGTACATGAGACAGATAATCTGTGAACTTGCGAAAAGTAAAGTGCAACTGCAAGGTTTCTCAGAAATGTCTGAAAATGTACAGATTAGTATTATGACAATTGATTTAAGCACATATTAGAAGTTTTCAGTTATTGACTAAGGAATTTGTAAGAAGACTCAATCAAATGTTATTAAGAGTGACAAGAAAGTGATTGTTATGATTGTGAGGTATTTCTTAAGAAAATAGGTTTTCATCAGGAAGGAAAATACTGATGATTATACTTATTGTTATATGATTATTATACTATAGTTTGGGGTCTACAACAAGTTATTCCAATAACAGAATTGGTGTGTTTTTTCTGGATGTTGTTTTGTGAAAACATTGTGTCCGCTCTTTTTTCTGGAAACTTGACGTGCATTCAAAAAACCCCATTTTATCCATGTTGCTCCCAAACTTGCGTGAAACTGTGCAATACATAGTCATCAGCTCTGTAAAAAATTATAGGTTTCATTCTTTTTTCTAAGTTGCTAGATGTACTAGTCCGAGACGGCTAGTTTTACCTGCCCTTGGAAAGTGGGCAAGCCCTGATTTATATGGCTGTCCACATGAAGGCCAAATAGTTATTTTCTATTGCAGATAAGGCTGTCTGTGGAAATCACTGGCACATACATGGCTGCAGTAATTACCAAGGTCACAATGTCTAATTAATGACAGAACCCCGGCTAACGAGCATCTGTAATTACAATCAGACTGCTCTCTAACAAGGCTGTGTGATTAACAATTAGAACCTATTATAACAAGGGCCCTTCAATTAATACCTGCCTTGAGGCAAGATGAGAAGAGAGAGATAGAAGACAGAAAAAAGAGAGAGCAGGACTTAAAGCTGGAGAGACCGAATAAATAGAGAAAGAGACGGGTAACAGAACTACAGTGAGAGAAAGACACTGAGCATCACTGTGTTTTGTATGCGAGTTCAAGCAGTTAAAGCACAAACACATTTTTAAGCATTTAATCAAAAACATGATATTTAGTCAGTCAAGCGAACAACAACCTAAGACAACAAGAGTAGATACTATATTTTACATTACATACATTATGAGGGGGTGCAATCTCATGGAAGAATGTATGGCAACATTAAAGCAATGGTTTAAACATGGGTTGCAATGTTCAACATAAAAAGACAACTGTAATATTATTTGTTGGATATACTGTAGAGTATTTTGCTTTTGGTAGCTAATAGAAAACATGTTTTTTAGTCTACCAATTTATCATGGCATGCGCCTTTGGGAGATTATCTTATTCATAAAACATTGTAACAAGTCTACTTAATGTGATCATCACCAGTTAAAGGTCAGAGAAAACCCATTAGTTTTCACTTTAAGTGGAGCGAGTGTGAATAAGTAAAATACTCGAGTTGTTCTCAGTCCTGCTCCTCAGGGTCCACAGCACTTCCTGTTTCCAATCTGCTGGTTACTGTTAAGCCATTTATCCCATGTCCTCTCAGCCCCTGACTCAATGGTCAGAGTTAACAACTAGCGGGACTGGGAGTCTATTCACCTGGCGTTAGCATGCATCGCAGGTGCTTGGAGTACAATAATATAGTGCTTGAACACATTCAACTGCAGGTTTAAATCCATCCAAGAGGTTGATTACATTGTGTTTCAATCCACCACACCACAGGGTTGCACTCTGACCACACTGTAAATTAGTATAAATGCTAAAGCTTTTGCAATCAACATGCAGCAATACATAGGTGGAAGCACATCTAACTAACTCCTCTGCTGCTGTTTAACAAGAGTTATCATGCATTAACACAAATATTGTGGAGGGAAAGGAAGAAAAACACCATGACTCTTATGTATGCCTATATGGCATTAATCTTACTGCATGGATGAATTTGATTCTCTGTCTGTGGTGTTGTTTTGCTGCTGTTTTTATTTATTGGGCTTTTGGATGAAGCAGTGGTATGTGAGTGTATTTTATTTCCTCTATTTTTTACGAACAAAATGAAGATTTGTCGAAATAAACTACAAATACTTGAAGGGTATACTTATTTGTGCTGAAAGGTGTACTGTATTTTGTGAGTGTGTGTGTGTGTGGGTGTGTGCGTGTGCTCGGGGGTTAATTTTTATGCCTGCCACTTTACATTTTTTATTTGTATTTATCGGCATATTAAAATGCCTCATGTTTCTATGGAATGTTAATTGCCAAAAAAAGTTACATTTTATTACACTTTCACTCAGAGAGAGAGTGACGCAGACACAGGTGGAGGACAGGTGTGGCCACTAGATTACAAACACACACACACACACACACACACACACACACACACACACACACACACACACACACACACACACACACACAAAGAACGAGAGAAGCCAGATGGTGATAGAGATTAAAGTTCATTTTAAAAAAGAAATATTGAAAAAATTAAAATATCCTGTTTTGCCCAACAACAGCTGTCACTGATGTGAATTTATTAAAATATAGTAATTCTAATCTAATCTGACAATAATGGTGGTCTCCCATGATAAACTAAACTGATTTTAGGTTCCTCTTCAGCACCGTAGCCAGGCTGTCAGAGAGTCACAGCTCTATTGAGGCACATATCCCCATAAACTTAAGTAGCGACGACTTTATGAGCTTCTTTTATAATAAAATTATTACTATTAGAGAGAAAATGAATCACCAACTGCCATCAACAGTTATCAGTGGCTCTCCAAGTTCAGGAACTTTAACTAATGTAAACTCAGATACATATTTAGACTGTCTTTCTGCTATCGATCTTCACCAGTTAACTTCAATAATTTCTACATCGAAGCCATCAACCTGTCTGTTAGACCCGATCCCAACTAGGCTGCTTAAAGAAGTCGTACCCTTAATTGGCACTTCTTTACTGGATATGATTAATCTTTCTTTATTATAAGGATATGTACCACAGTCCTTTAAAGTAGCTGTAATTAAACCCCTTCTTAAAAAGCCCACTCTTGACCCAGGGGTTTTAGGCAACTATAGACCAATCTCTAACCTCCCCTTCCTCTCTAAGATTCTGGAGAAAGTAGTCGCCAAAGAGTTGTGTGACTTTTTACATAACAATAGTTTATTTGAGGATTTTCAGTCAGGATTTAGAGTTCATCACAGCACAGAGACAGCTCTGGTTAAAGTTAATAATGACCTTTTGATTGCTTCAGACAATGGACTTGTCTCTGTACTTAGTAGTTAGTAGTTAGATATTTGATTAGATTTGACACCACTGACCATAATATTCTATTACAGAGACTTGAGCATATAATTCAATAAAATTTTATTTGTATAGCGCCAATTCATAACAGAAGTTATCTCAGGACACTTTTACACTGTACTTGTATTATGAGATCTTAGTGCTGCATTTGACACCATTGACCATAATATTCTTTTACAGAGACTTGAGCATCAAATTGGCATTAAAGGAACCGCACTAAGCTGGTTTAAGTCATATTTATCAGATTGTTCGCAGTTTGTACATGTTAATGATGAATCTTCAATAAATACTACAGTTAGTAATGGAGTTCCACAAGGTTCTGTACTTGGACCAATACTATTTACTTTATATATGCTCCCTTTAGGCAACATTATTAGAAATCACTCCATTAACTTTCACTGTTATGCAAATGATACGCAGTTATATCTATCAGTCAAGCCCGATGAAATTAATCAATTATCTAAATTACAAACATGTCTTAAGGACATGAAATCCTTGATGAGCTGCAATTTTCTGATGTTAAACTCAGAAAAAATAGAAATTCTTGTACTTGGCCCCAAAAATCTTAAGAGACTCACTGTCTAAAGATATAGTTACTCTAGATGACATTACCTTGGCCTCTAGCACCACTGTCAGGAATCTTGTAGTTATCTTTGATCAGGATTTGTCATTTAATTCCCACATGAAGCAGACCTAGGACTGCCTTCTTTCATTTACGTAATTAGACACATCCTATCACAGACAGATGCAGAAAAACTAATCCATGCATTTGTTACTTCTAGGCTGGATTACTGCAACTCTTTATTATCAGGTTTCCCCAATAAGTCCATTAAAACGCTCCAATTAATTCAGAACACTGCATCACGAGTACTGACAGGAACTAGAAAAAGAGATCACATCTCTCCTGTACTAGCTTCTCTGCATTGGCTCCCTGTAAAATGTAGAATAGAATTTAAAATTCTCCTCCTCATCTATAAAGCACTTCATGGTCAGGCCCCTTCATATCTTAAAGAGCTCATAGCACCCTATTACCCCTCTAGAACACTACACTCTCTGAATGCTGGGCTACTTGTGGTTCCTATAGTCTCTAAAAGTAGAACAGGAGCCAGAGCCTTCAGTTACCAAGCTCCTCTCCTGTGGAACCAGCTTCCAGTTGTGGTTCGGGAGGCAGACACCCTCACCACATTTAAGAGTAGGCTTAAGACATTCCTATTTGATAAAGCTTATAGTTAGGGCTGGATCAGGTGAGTCCTGAACCATCCCTTAGTTATGCTGCTATAGGCCTAGACTATCGGGGGATTTCCCATGGTGCGCTGAGCTCCTCTCTTCCTCTCTCTTTCTGCACTCATTCATGTCCCATTTATGCATGTTACTAACTTCACTTCTTCCCCGGAGTTCTTGTGCTTTCTCGTCTCGCAGGTTCTTATCGATCCTGGTGGAGCCTCCTGCCATGGTCCTGCTAGATTGCCATTACCAATACTGTTGTTGCTGTGCACCTGTCTGTCTGTCTCTCTCTCTCTCTCTCTCTCTCTCTGACCCCAACTGGTCGAGACAGACGACCACCCACCTAGAGCCGAAGGATCTGTCCCAGGTTTCTGCCTTTTGACAGGCAGTTTTTCCTTGCCCTTGTCGTCAAGTACTTGCTCATGGTGGTACTGTTGGGTCTCTGTAAATAATGTTATAAAGAGTACGGTCTAGACCTGCTCTATTTGAAAAGTGTCCTGAGATAACTTCTGTTATGAATTGGCGCTATACAAATAAAATTGAATTGAATTGAATTGAATTGAATTGAATTTTCCCTGTTTCCACCTTTAATCACCAACATCACTTTCACATCAATTAGCTATGAAGTTGCAATTATCTTGGGCTGTGAAGCTGAACACTTGCAAAATCTTGTTAACAACAAGATATCTGAAAATACAGCTGCAAATGTAATTCAAACCCAATTGCAGAAAATGACCCCTAAACATTTATGGAAAAATGAACATGATGTTGACATCTGATAGCCGGCCGTTCGTCATGCTTGGAAAGCTGAGCATGATGAAAGTAATTCTGGATTGATGGTGATGTTCATCTGTTTCTTCTCATGTTCTTTACTAGAACACCAGATAAATACAGATATATAATGCTTTTTATACATCAGGAATTTGTTTTTACAAAATCTGTAACCAAGAAAAAAATCTTTTTTTATATTTATTAGTCATATATGTCAAAATCTGTCCACTAAAAGTGGTTGTTTTTGCCACTGTCAGGCTCATATTGTTATTCTAAGTGTCTGACAACATTATGGAAAGGATCCATACTGAGAAAGATCTTTTTTTTAACCAGAAACAGCTGTAATATAGCTATCACTCACCACCAGATCTCCACAGACAAAAACATAATTTTACCTCGTAGATCATTATAACATTGTAACTTCATTCAAAATGTAGAAAAACAAAATAAAACTCACATAATACCTTTAATTCCCTGATGTGGATGATAAAAACAGCTGTTTCAGTTGAGCTCTACTAGCTGTGCGCAGAGCACATCGGATATGGAAACAAACCACAAAGAGGCTGTGATAGCAATACAGGCAGAGGGAGTGTGACACCATGACTCGACTTTATCTTTACATAGAAATAGTTGTTTGCTGCTATATTAATATTTTAAATCATATATATGTATAACCTCGACGGCGATAAATCCGCAAACAGCCGCTTTAATCGAAGAACAGTCGTGGTATTTCCATGATCCCCACTGCAAGTTATAGTCATATCAATCCAGCTGTAGTTGGCAGCTCAGTGTGAACTGAAGACAGAGCTCCTTGTGAGACATAATCCTGGTGGGACTGCAGATAGCAGACTAACTAGTCTATATGCCTTTTATGAGTGTTTAGATGCAAGGCAATTACAGCAGACAGACAGAGCGAGGATAATCAAGTTTAAAATGACCGGAACCACAGTGTGCTTAGCTGAGACTAGCATGTTTGCAACCACAACTAATCTGATGGTCTACTAATAATAACAGCTCTTCAAATGCACTATTCTACAACCTGAATTTACATTACATTACACTATTTATACTGGGCCTTGACAATAGGAGTGACAAAAGGAGGCAGAGAATTATGCTGCTGAGGGTGTTTGTGTGTGTGTGTGTGTGTGTGTGTGTGTGTGTGTGTGTGTGTGTGTGTGTGTGTGCGCATCTGTGTGTTTAACAAAAAGAGAAAAGAAAATGACTGTAACTAATGTGTGGATAGTAGATGTTGTATATACTGTAGCTGGCATTCCTAACACTGGGACAATGGTCTAAAAATAAACAACAGCTTTCTCCATACATTACCACACATGAGAATGATCCACAGACGACCACTGCCTACAGTATGTGGGATAAAACGATCATTTTCATTTACATTTGACCATTTAATTACTCTTCCCCTCCATGCTTAAAACCACGCAAACACCCACACAAAGTGCTTCTGATTTGTGTCTAGTGAATGGCCATCATACATAATGTCCTGTTGAGACAACGGCTAGTTTACGACATAATTGTGTGTGGGACATAATTAACTCGCTTTTTGAAACATTGATCAGAAGACTTATTTGTTTGTTCATAGTTTTGCAATTTTGTTGCTAATACAGTGTAGGGGTGGATGTGTGAAAAGTATTAGTGACTTTTTATTTAATTTATTTATTTCATGTAAAAATGCATCTAGCACTTGCATGTACTCCCAAAATTTCATACATACTTCTACAAAATCTCTTTTGGACTCAACATGACATTGTAGAAAATCCACAGTGAACACAGAACCTGTTCCCAGTAGGGATGGAGAGATTCACCGATTTGAATCGGTGGTCCGAGACAGACGTTTGCGATGCGAGTGCACCGGTAGCTTTAGTGTGTATCGGATACAACTGCCGGCTAAATGCGCAATGTATCTTTCTTTGCGTATCTGCATCGGTAAAACCCATGGTTACATCGATTATTACATAGTTTATATCCTCTGCACCCGTGTTTTTGAGGTGCCTTGAACGCACCATCACTATCTTTTTTCGCGGCGCCACAGACGCAGTTAGTTAGTAAACAGAAAAAATGGAGGTGACGAGGAGATATTAAGCGTACCTTGGAAGACACACAATATCGCAGGAGTAGTGTGGACTTTGCACATTGAAAAGAAAGACCTCTAGTTGATATACAGCAGTGTGAGTGATGTTTACAGTTGCTGTGGCTGTCAGTCAAAAGTTTAATTTTTTTTATTTGTAAGCAATTGTTTATTTTTGTTTAACTGTTATATTGTTGTATAAATCTCAATGATTTCTGCTCTTACAGCTCAGTTAGCCAACTAGAAGAGTGTCAGCTCAAGCACATCAGTCTGGCAGCAGTAGTATGGGCATTGCAATATGATGAAGTTATTTGCACAATGCAGATTGTTGATGTTGAAGTTTTATAAGTGTTTTGTAAAACATTGTGAAATTACAGACAGAGAACACTATTAGTAAAAGGACCTGAAAAAAGGACTGTTTGTTTTGTTTTTTTTATCCAGAGGCCAAAAAGAAATTGCCCGAATACAATACATTTAGTATTGTATAAGTAGAGAATGAGATTAAAAACACATAAAAATATTTTTTGTTTATGATTTAGTGTTTATTAGGAATAAAACAATTCTGTCTGTACCATATTGAATTGCACCTTCTTTTTAAGTTGGATTTATTGATTTGCTTTATAGAAAACAATCAAGTATCTGAACTTTTTTTTGTCTTAAGAATACATTTGTACTTTACATTTGTACAACTGTTTTCTTTAATAATAATTAGCATGGTATTGGTTTAATATTAAGAATCAAGACATCAGAGCAAGGGTCGCTGTTTCAGCACCCAAAGGTGAAGCTATGTGTGTGAAACTGACATCCATGCCTGTTCAATCTAGTGAACACCAGTTGTGTTGGGTGTCCCTTGACACAACAGGTGCAATCTGTGAGTGTGTGTCTGTGATTGTTCGAGATGTGTCTTTGAGAGAAGAGAGAGAGAGAGAGAGAGAGAGAGAGAGAGAGAGAGAGAGTGTGTTAATGGAGGGATTTGCACTTCTAAATGAGGACATTCACACTGTCCTGACACATCTCACCCCATTCCCTCCTCTATACCCAATAAATGTCCATAACACACCTCTTTACGTTATCTCTCTGTGTCTGCCAACAGTTTTATTTTCTGTCACTCATATAATCTGCTGTACAATACATCATAAAGAGTATACCTGCTCTAGACCTGCTTTATATGAAAACTGCCTTGTGATGACTTCTGTTTTGATTAGGTGCTATAGAAATAAAATTAAATCAAACTCAAAGTGAGGCTGAAATTGAATAACATCTGAGTCAGTGTTTCACATTTCAGCCACATTTATTTGATTTTTTCTTCTTAAGTCCTGTCTTTTTTTGCATATGGGCCTGTAGTAAATTTCTCTCTCCATCCTGGTTTCACACCCATGGATGTATAAAGAGAACTTGATTTGGGGGCACGCTTCGTTCATTCCCATGGAAGGTGCTCAGTGGTAAATGAAGCCAAAAATGTTCAACAAATTACCTGGATCTCCCCTGTATTGCGGGGTGTTGATGCTAAAAAAACTATTATCCACCAGTTTGCATCCACTTCTTTCACAATGTAACCTTTTGGGAAAAAGTCTTTCTGGGCCAGTGTGCATCATGTGACATGGCCATTGCTTTAATTACACAGTTTTGACACTTCAACGTCAAATTAGCTTCATAGTCCGTCGCTCTTCCTTGGAACTTGTTTACTCCTCTCACGCATGTTCACGCATCATTTCTTTGCTGTCATTGTCTGGGGATATCATCAGTTGGTCACATCTATCCAATAGCACAGCAAGAGACCTTCATCATCTTGCTGCTATATTTTTAAATACTTCTCTATCTCTCTGCCTTCTGTCTTTGCAGAGTTCCACAGAATTTTCACTGGGCACTGCTTTATAACATTGGTTCTGTGATGTGGTCTGGCTCCATCAATCGCATCTTCAAATCCCATCGAGATCATTTCTTGAGTAGAGAGTCTTCAGAGTGCCTTGACTGCCTGACGTTGTAGACATGTAAAAAAAAAGTCAAATTGGACAGAAGACATATATAATATATTAATATAGTATATATATAATATTTTATGTCTGCCTGGATATGTTTTTGTTGTTATTATTGTACTTTCTAATTGGTTATTATTTATTGTTATTTATCTCATGTATTCTAACACACACTGATCAGCCATAACATTATGACCACCTGGGCACCCTGGTGGTCATAATGTTCTGCAGTCCCATACCAACAAACTGTGATGCACTGTGTGTTCTGACACCTTTCTATCAGAACCACCATTAACTTTTTCAGCACCTTGAGCTACAGTAGCTTGTCTGTTGGATGGGACCACATGGGCCAGCCTTCATTCCCCATGTGCATCCATGAGCCTTGGCCCCCCATGACCCTGTCTCCGGTTCACCACTTTTCCATCCATGGAGCACTTTTGATAGGTACTGACCACTACAGATCGGGAACACCCCACAAGTTTTGGAGATGCTCTGACCCAGTCGTCATAAAAATGTGGCCCTTGTTAAAGTCACTCAAATCCTCACACTGCCCATTTTTCCTGCTTCTAACACATCAACTTTGAGGACAAAATGTCCACTTGCTGCCTTATATATCCCACCCACTGACAGGTGCCATGATAACCAGATAATCAGTGTTATTCACTTCACTAGTCAGTGCTCATAGTGTTATGGCTGATCGGTGTATCGGTGTATCTGTGCACCTGTCTCTCGCTCTCTCTCTCTCTCTGCCTCTCTCTCTCTCTCTCTCTCACCCCAACTGGTCGAGACAGACGACCACCCACCTAGAGCCGGAGGATCTGTCCTAGGTTTCTGCCTTTTAACAGGCAGTTTTTCCTTGCCCTTGTCGCCAAGTGCTTGCTCATGGTGGTACTGTTGGGTCTCTGTAATTAATGTTTTAAAGAGTTCGGTCTAGACCTGCTCTATTTGAAAAGTGTCCTGAGATAACTTCTGTTATGAATTGGCGCTATACAAATAAAATTGACTTGAATTGAATTGTATGTCGGTGAAGAAAGATGAATTTCCACTTAATTTCTATTCTGTTTTCATTATAGAAACATTGTGGTACCTGTAAGAAGTAAGTAAGAAACATATTCTTCCTGTTGAATTAAAAAACTGTTGACAACATTCCTGCAGCACCTGTTCTGATTACTCACAGCATGACACAGGTTCTCACGAAAAGCTGCCATTACATACCATAGTGATGTAGTTTACTAGAGACTGAGCTACCATTCGGAGGCCAAAAAGCCTGGGTTAAAGCTACCCTTAGCTCACTAACTTTATTCACGTTTAGGCAGCTGTGACTGTCATTATGATGAATAGGAGTGAAAGATTTGTGGTGTTTTGGGGGCTTTTCTATTTCTCTGAACCATGTGTGGAGCAGTGATCAGGTACATGGTTCTCCAGTAAAGTGAATGACAAGTATAAATCAGCAATAAAGCAAAAAGGAAAACAAATGTCTATTATTACTCAAGGTAGCGTCATAACGTGTAGCCATGTATCACTCACGTGTTAAGGAGCTGGTATGGAGCACAACTTCACTTCCCACAGTGTTAGCAATAAATGTCCAATCAATCAACACATGAGAGAAAAGCAGTGATTTAAAATTAACAAATGAAAGAGAAAACTGAGGACAGAATGGGGCAGTAGAGGAAAGAGAGGCAGGTAGCAGAGAGGAGAGAAAGCTGGAAAAAGAACAAGACTAGGAGAAACAGGGAAAAAGAGGAGCAGAAGTGAAAGGAGAGAAACATGTAATGTAATGTTTATCTGTGAATATGGAAAGTGTATTTGGCATTCAATCTGGAGAAGCTTCCGTATCATATTTGTGTGAAAATGGTATTTCTAAGTCCGCTCACAAACACAGACACATATTCCTAGAGCCAAGGTTAAGACAGTATGAGCGAGGATGAGAGAGGCAAAGTTGTGGTATCATGTAGTGTGTGTATTTGTGTATTGTGTGTGTGTGTGTGTGTGTGTGTGTGTGTGTGTGTGTGTCTGAGTATGTGAGAGAGGGTAAGAGAGAACAGTATATAGGGTAAAGGTATATGTCAGTTGGTGAGTGTTTTGTCTGTGAAGACTACAGAGTCCATATGATACCATTGCTGTTTGACACACGCACGCGCGCACACACACACACACACACACACACACACACACACACACACACACACACACACACACACACACACACACACAGTCTATTTGATACCATGTCAGCTGACAGGTATGTTGGGAGAGAAACAGCCAGTGTTTGAACATTAACCTGTGTTAGACTGGTGTGTGGGAGTAATATTGATCTCATCAGATCTACACCAGTCAGTGTCAAACTCTGAAATAAAGATTGTGATGCAGTTTCACTGATTAGATATTTACTATTGATTGAATCCGTGCTACTTTGGTTGTGTATGCGTATGTATCTTTATGTTACATCTTCTTATAGGTCTTTGCATCACCATTGATTTTTAAACTTTGGAATATTGAGACGGTGGGTGGCTAAAGCTTTGAAACTATCTGGGGGAAAACATATTTTTTTCTTTAAAAAGTGAAATATTTAAATAAAAGACAGAGCGACGCTGACTGAAGAGTTGAGAGAAAACTGTAGACAGCTGTATTTCATCAGCAACTCAAGTTTCACAAAGTGATCTGGCAGTTTGCACTTGAAAGATTGACACAGGTTTGAACTTGTGTTTTAGGCCAAATTGCTGATGAAACTTTTCTGAGAAGAGGCATAATATGGGAATATAAAGTGGATGGCCTTGCAAACACACTGGAACTAACCTATCACCACTTAGCGAGGAGCAAAACACCATCATCTGCATGTACATGATCTGCCACATGTCTGCAGGGCTGTCACCTTGAAACAGACACTTTAACCCAAACATGAGCTTATGAAAATGCTCTGCTACTGGCAACAACAGTGCTGGAGAAAGTGTGGACCAACCACTCCAATATGTTTTGGACATTTTTTGGACAGAAATTCTTATATATTGGGAAAAAAATGTTTAGCTCTAAGAACGATTTTGGGATATGAAATACCTAATGATGTAAAGGTCCTTTATCTCGGTTTAAGTGACGTTGCAATTATTAAAAAAAGACTGGTACAAACTATTGTTTATTGTTTTTAAAAAAGCGACCACAAAGAATTAGTACAAACCTGAACCTGAAAAGTCTAAAGCAGTGGATGGAAAGAATGACTTTCTGCCTAAGGTATATAGTAATGTGAAAGAGGGACAGGGAATGCTGATATTACAGTAGCTGGGTGCAGCTTAGTAAATAAGTAACTATACTGACTAATTAATGTCCTAGAAGTTAGACTTTTTTAATACTGTTGCTGTCAGAGGAGTACCAGCTCATGGACCGATACGAACCGTCTGTCACCCAACTTCACACTTGGAAGCTGTAAGTTTTTCTCTATTTAATGTTGTTTTACTGTTCATTGTGTAGGTTAGCCTGCTGGACTTGGCATTAACATGCTATGCTAATGTGGCTAACACTGTAGTCACACAGGCTGGGCCGATGTCAGACTTTCTGTTGTAATATGAGGAACAGTCAGAAGCTGTGTGACTGTGAAAAAAAAAAAATGTTTGGTGAGATTGTATAACTTTGATTAGCACAAAGCAGCTGTAGTGACTTGCTGCGCTGTTTGTAAAGTCAAATCGCGACTAATTAAACGTTTCTGATCCAGACCGTTAGCGCTACTGCTCCACTAATATCACTGACTAATATTACGAAGTCCGCTGTCAGACTTCATGTTGTATTGTTGAGGGACAGTCAGAAACTGTGTGACCGTAACTTCTGTTATGAATTGGCGCTATACAAAAAAAGGAAGAAAAGGAAAGAAATAAAAATGTATACTAGAAACCACATATATAGTATGAGTATTCTTAAAAGGAAAGTAAAAGGAAAAGAAAGAAAGAGAGAAAAGGAAAGAAGGAAAGAAGGAAAAAGGAACGGACTGTATGACGGACGGACGGACGGACCAACCAACCAACCAACCAACCAACCAGCACAGTACATTTAGCCTTGAAGATGTTGGATTTCTTTGTCTGCAGGACAGAGAGGGAGTGCTGACTGCAGCGTCCAGCAGAGGATGGATGTGTTTGATTTGCCATGCAGGGAGTGCCTTTGGGTCACACAGCATTTATTTTTCAGCTCCACCCCGCGGGCTGATATTCTTTCTTACCCTGTCTCCTGAAGGCCTTGCAAGTTGTTTCATCTCAAAGTCTGAAAACGCACGTGTGTGTGTGTGAGAAAGACAAAGACACACTATTTCTTACACACACCCTCATACATACCACATAGTGTAGGGACTGTCTTTTCAGTGGGGGTGGGCTCAGTATTGAAAGATGATGCTCTGAACTGTGTGTGTGTGTGTGTGTGTGTCTGTGTGTTTGTGTGTGTGTATTAGCCTTTCATATGAATATAAAGCTGAGCCAGGGACATGGTTTGGCTGTCCCAAAGGTCCAAACATTCTCCAGCACACACATGCAGCCAAAATACTGTGGGTTGTAAAGATCCTAGAGACAGACATTTCCCCCTCTATCAATCTATCAGCACCCCCTTTCTTCTCTTAGGGAATGAGACAAGGGAGAGTGAGACAGAGAAAGAAGAAAGAAGAAAAGAAAGAGTTGGTTACAAATTGTCCGCTGAATTTAAGGGTCAAGGTTAAAGTTACCCTCATAAATTGTGTGTGTGCATGCAAGTCATTCATAAGAATATAAAACTACACCAGGGTTCATGGTTTGGCTGTTCCACAAATTCTCACACACAAACACACAGCCAAGTGGTGGGAGTGGCAGACATTTCTCCATCCACCAGTCCCTCCCCTTTTCTCTCTGGGTGAGAGACATTAACGTAAGTGGGATAGAAAAAGGAAGATGGAGTAAAAGAGAGAGTGGACAGCATCTTGTCTGGTTAACATAGGGTCATGGTTAAAGATGCAATATGTAATAATTCATAATACAAAACAATAGGGGGCAGCATATCACATATCAGGTCATAACTACTGCTAACTGCCGTTAGAGAGTTAGCTTTCTAGTGCTTTGAAAGGACCACTGCACTTTAGAGTCTATAGGTCTGGGAAACTAAGAGGTAAAAGGCTTCAACAAAGAAGCTGATTCAGTGTATATTTGGATTCACAGTCTGCCTAAAGAGAACCGGGGCATCTGAATCAGATCGCCATGCCCCCTTCCTTGGTGGCCATAAACATCTTGTACATTCAGAGGTTGGTTCAAATCAATTACATCATATCTACTAATAACCACACCCCTCCATCTTGTGACTCTTTGCACCCATTTTTGCTAGACATGTTTTAGACGTTAAGACTTCTTCAATTTGCTTGCATTCAAGGACATATATCAACTTCCTTTTGAATCTTTATAGAAATAATGGAGCCACAAAGTGTTTTTGCAAAAAATGCTTTTGTTCAGCATAGCTTACACTAGCTAATGCCTTCTCTCTTAAAAGTATGTCTGATCCGATTTCAAAGATTGGTATCGGTGCGGTTAACAGCATTTTTTCACTGATCGCCATTGGTAATATTGAGCTATATTGAGCTTGAGTTGATCCTTTGTTTTATGTCAGCTGATTTTTCTTAATGCAATGCAGAGCTATTCAGGTATCAAGCATATACATTGGATCGATTTCAGTAACTTACGTGTACTTCAGGTGTGCACTGTCCATCTGTATTATCTAGGAAAATAGAAGTATTGGACCAGGATTCTGTATTAGCAGATACATAATCATTAATTAATGATTAAATGACTTAGATCAGGATTGTAGGAAAAAAATCCTGATTGGGAAATCTCAATGAAAAAGAGCAGATTACTGGGTATTTGTATGTTGTGGACAGTGAA